GGATTGAAGTGCTAATGGGTCCCAGATATTGAAGGCCGGTTTTGCAGTGTGCCTTTGTCTAGCCGCGTCAACCATTTGCTCAACTCTTTTGTGCATCGACGAAATTGAACTCGTTGTCGGAGAACACATTCGATGGGTTGCCTCGTCTACCCACGATTCTCTACCAGGCCATAAGAAAGGAGTCGGTCGAACTACTGTTTACGGTCTCTGTATGCAAAGCTCGTGACTGTAGGCAGGTCATCAAGCAACCGTACCGTTTTTCCGTTGATGACTTTCGTCTCACTCAAAGTGGTCCGAAGTAGTCCACTCCAGTTTTGGCGAAGTGCCATCAAACGGGTCGTACTCGGGAACTTGGTAACGAGGCCATCAGTTATTTGCAGAATATAGCATTCTGGCGAAGACAAAAGAGTCAGTTACCCACGATGCGCTTCACCGTAGCTCTCCCTTCCATTATCTAAAACCGACGGCGAATCATATTGAGTAGGTGGATTTTCCCTGCATGATCTTCTTGCATATGAATGTGTATCATGAGTGTTATTAATAATGATAATAATGATAATAATAATAATAATAGTAGTAATAATAATATTGGTATTTTTCACGAAGCTCGTGAGGCGTGCTAGTGCGCATGATCAAATGTACAACAATGTAAAACAAATGACGGTCAAAACAAAGATTAAATGTACAGAGATGGTAAGAACGTAATTTTCAAACGGGTACAAAAGACATCGTAACCATGCATTGCGGTGAAAAAGAAACACAAAGCGGACAAGGTCACGTAATGCGGTACTGAGGGTGATCTGATATGGAGATCAAATCATTGTAAACGATTGTCATATGGAGAACATTGAGGAATACACAGAACTGGAGGTGAAAATATCCGCTCGGGAAATAATGGGCGGAAACGAGTTCGGAGAATAGAAGGAGGGTGGTGAACGTGAAAGCTTTATAATTTCAGAGGGAGAGCTGCGATCGAACCAAGGAAGTGCAACGGAATACAGTAGGACGACAAATATATCATAAATAAACTGTTCCAAGGTTTGATACAGATGGACTGGCTTCTTGAACAAGGAGTAAAGGGCTTTGCAGCTTCACCGGTAATGGATTGACTGGTTTATATTATTTATGTTACGGCAGCTAATGCACCGTAGTTAAAACGAAAGGTTTTCTATTCTTCTTTATTACTGTTTGTTTTCTGTCATTTCCACTCTTTTCTGTTTGTAATTTCCTGTTTGTTTAGACGTTCCAACATAACGTTTTCAATGTTCGACCCGGGATATATTGCTTGATCAGCTGGGTTGAGCTTGGTGTACATTTTTGTTCGATTGTTTTCTGTTCTGCTTGGTGTGAGCATACATTCTAGTATGTTTTTTCCTATTTATACCATTTATTATAATGTGTTTTAGGTACCGTATAAACGTCGTGGTCTACCGTCTGTATTCGTGTTTTCATTGCTCGTTCTCGTCCGTTTCGGTTAGTTGGGGTCGTTCGTTATCGGGTTGAATACGTTCGTTCCAGTTCGGAATTTATCGTCAACAGCCTATGCAAATTTGTTCATTCCAGTTGAGGAGTGATCGTTATTGCGAAGTTCAAGCCCGTTCTTGCTAGGTCACAGTGTTGGTATATTTTAATATGCGTGTTGGACTAACGAGCTCAAGCGGACGCAACAATGAGTGTGTGCGTGATGCGTTGATTGCCCGGCAAGACAATGGGGTGTTTAGCATCTAAATTCAATTCAGAGTTTGCTAATTGAACAACTTCTCTCAACAAACCATCTACCAATATTGAATAATGTCTTCTCTAGAGAGCCGCAACGTAATTCATGTCTGTCGAAGTCACAATTCTCCCTGCTCAACCCCTGAATCTCCGACGGGAAGGCTTGTAATTGAATCATACGATCGACATCAGTCTTTACTGTTTTCATTTCAGTTGGGCCAATGGGTCCAGTATTCAAGGTGTCGTTAAATCGGAGTTCTTTCATAATGGCGAGTTGTCGTTTCAACTTAGTCCACCAGACAAACACCCTCAGCATCTTCCTCCATGGTAAAAACGATGCGGTTTCTGCAGTAGGATGTTGGTTGAGGCATTGACTAACGAAACGTCCTTTAATCTCCAGTAACTCTGTTCGACAGGGTAATCTGAGTATCGGGCCATTCACTAAGCTGATCCGTCAAAGAGCTGGTCCATGTAACATGTTTTTATTTTTTTCAAATTCAGCACACCTATGGTGCAGTAGTCGGCTGGCTTTTGCGTTCCGCCATTGATACACCTCAGTTTTTTCGTGGATGACAGCTAGCTGGTTGGCAATAGATGTGCTGAATCACGTCTGTACATTGTTAACGTAGTGAAGAACTATGGCGGAATCAGTCCAGTAAGTATCGGTCCATTCGATAGATTGAAAACACCGTTTTAGTATCTTTGCAAACTTCACGACTAATACTGCTGCGGTCAGTTCTGACCTGGGTATTAGGACTAGGCGGTTGCTTATGTTCGTCAAAACCTGTCACTAATGTTATCTCACGTTCGTTCTGGATTTCTGTCAAAAGAAGAAACAGAACCAAGGATTGGTATTGTAGAGATGATATATTCTGGAACTTCCGAAATGTTGGAAGTAAGTCTGGCTAGGCCTAGGCTGTTATTTAGGCAACAGCAGCGGTAACAGGAAAGTAGGTTTGATCAATACAAGGAAAGCGGGCGATATGGAGCTCGCCGTGGGGAATTGTGCCGGTGTGGTCTTTTTGAGCCCATTAAAAGCACGATAATAGTTAAAGCACAACTTAATTCTGGAAGTGTCCGATTTGCTATATCTAGTGAAGAAACGTTCTCTAGACGATTGATATGGCCAAATAATGGCGATGCTTAAAAAATCTCGATGGTATACTTGATTGCGTCCGGTAGAGAAGAAGGGTTCTTATGTTAGGAGGAAAAGATTAACGGCAGTCTAGCCTTTGTAATTAATCTACCTGATCGATAGACCAGATCACTACTTCATACTTGAACCTCGAGGATTCGGATAAGTGTGTCGTGTTTGTGCAACCAAGCCCTTATAATCCTCAATTATGCAGGACTGGTTTAAAACTGAATCTGTCTTGATGCTAGTCACCAGCGTGGGATGGAGGTGCTTCTGTTTCGGGATTTGATGATCACGTCAAGCTTCAATGGATCTACCAGGAAACGTAGAGAAAAACAACAGGAAAGAAGAGAAAACTGCCGTGGGAAAACTGTCGGTTGAAGAATCGCTACAAGACTGCCTTTAGAGAGCGATCCTGACCTTCGCGAATGGCATGCGTTATGTCTCCTTTTGCCAGGCCAAGACGAGAAACTGTAGGCCACTACCCCATATCCAACCTCCGACGAATCCACAAAAGCATGTAACTCACTTGCCTCCCCTCGACGCATTTCTGGTATGGGACGAGGAAGCCGTATATCGCCCAGATTGGACAGGTTCATCCACCAGCCTTGCCAGGTCTTGTGGTCCGTTCCGTATAGGGTCTCATCCCAAGTTACCTTCTTTCTACACAGGTCCTTCAGTAGAATCTTGCCCGGCAGTAACCACGGTGCGGTGAACCCCATTGGATCGTAAAGGCTGGCTAACGAAGACAGAGTCTCTCTGGGAGTCGCCGTCCTTTCGGGTAGCTGGAGTTGGAACAAAAACTCATCTTTCTCCGATTCCCACTGCACACCAAGTACCCTGTCTATTGGTAACAGAATTCCCTGCAAGTCACAAAGACACGGTGACTGTTGATCAACCGGGATGCAATCGATTGCTAGACGACTGTTAAACATTCGATTGGTTAACTTAGCCCTTTCCATGAGCAGTAGTTTAGATAAACCGTTAATCTATCGAACTGCTTCTTTGACACTAGCAAAAGTTCCCAGGAAGTCATCAACATAAAATTGATGTTCAATAAAAGAGTCAAGCGGGGTTTGGAAACGCTGAGAAAATTGATTCACGGTCCTTTTTGAGGCGAAAATGCTCGGAATGGAGAGGATATTGCGCCTAAATGGTGCAACGTCATCCACTATTTCTGAGCAGGTCCATGTAGGCCTCGCTCCGGTCACCACCACAACCGTAAAGCGACCCTTTTCCTTTCGGGGATTTAACCTGCATGAACATTTCCTGGATATCAGCCGTAACGGCAACTGACCTCAGACGAAATCGGCACAGTACCTAGATCAGTGGGGTCGTCAGATCTGGGCCTTGTAGTAGACAGTCGGTTAAGGCAATCCCAGCACACTTGGCAGCCCAATCGAACTCTGGTCTTCTGAAGTTTCTTATGGTTTACAACTGGGTAGTGCGGAAGGTACCCGCAAATCAAATCAACTGCAAATCACAGGACGTAGAGGGGCCTTCGCCTGTTGGGTGTCCTGGTAATGGCGGG